TGTGAGGGATTGTAGGAATTGGTATTGGAAAATGAAAAGGTGTGTAAAAATGGAAAATGAAAAGGTGTGGCTACGTGTCAATTTCGACCAAGTATTTGAACTTGATCCGATGGTCAAATTATAAAAGTAAATAAATCAACTTATTCTACTCGTCAAGTAGATCGTCGTGGTATATTTGGAATCTCGAAACCAATTCCGGATGAATGAGAAATTGCGGACCAAAGTTAGAAGAAATGAAGTGTTGCAATTTTTCGAAAGGTGCAGATTTTAGCCAAGTGTTGCAACTTTTTTGAAAGGATACATGTTTTGACTCACACTACTTCATTTGCATCCTTTCTACATTTATAAATAAAACTCTATGGACATGGTTTTGGGTACACCAATTGCATTGTGCATTCATTCTCCTTTTGCAATTCTCTTCTTTCTAATTCTATAACATTTCATACATTTCCTTTGTAGAGGGGAAATTCTGTCAAAAGTTCGTCGGTTTCTTGTGGTTTGAAGTGTTGCTACCACAAGTTATGAATCCATTATATCTTGAGAGACAAGTGTCATTCACCGTGAGCACCGTAGCGGGACAATTTGTCTTAAGGAAAGAAATATCGTCTCGCCTTGGATTATTCTCTATTTCTACTCCTTCTCACTTCTTGTTTTGCGTAATCTTTATACCGAAACTCTGTTCAAATTTTCATTCATATAAATTGTGTTTTGATCACGCTCTAGCGGGTTAAAATTGATCAAACAAATATATAAAAAACCAACTCTTACATAACCCTTTTTATAAGTCGTCTCCAACAGTTTTACATCGAAAAGTGACATGATATAATGAATTTTATTGAGTTAATATATATGAAAAATCAACTTTGGGAAAATTCAAATGATTCTGCAAGATGTTTGAATGAGAGTGAGTAGAGTGACATCCTTTGTCAATTTTTTCTAAAAATGTTGTAGTTTATCTCATTTAAATGCTTTGGATATAATTAAATAGATATATTTATGTGTGTGTTTGTGAAAATTTAAATATGAATATAAATTGAAACATTGTTTTACATTTAAAGTGATTTAACACTTTATTTGTATTTTGCATGAGAATTAAGAATCTAAAACCTAAAAGTAACGTTCTTTGTCACTTTTTTCTCAAAATGTCGTGCTTCTATCTTATTTGGATTCTTTAGAATTAATTAAAGAGATGCATACATGTGTATCTATGAAAATTTAAATATGAATATGAGTTCAAACATTGCTTTACCTCAAAAAGTGACATGATGTAGCACTTTATTTGTGTTTTCCCCATATGAATTAGTTTGCTAAAAATTAAAACTGACATGCTATTTCACTTTTTTTTTAAAATCACACTATTTCATTTTTATTTATTTATTTATTATTATTATTATTATTATTTGCAGACATGGATAAAATTATTACCTACATTTATTACGAGGCAAATGAAAACATATAACGAATATAAAAATAATAAAATGATTGAAATTGTTGTCCCAATAGAATGTCACGTTTTTAAAAATATCATTTTTTTTTTGTTAAAAAAAGTAAAATATCATGTCACTTCTTTAAAATGCTAAATTATGGCAAATATTCAAAAAAGAAACAAAATTAATTTACGCGTAATTGATACGGGAATTTGTAGTTCTAATCAGTTTTAAAGGTATTAATAATATTTTATTTTAAGGATGGTGTGACTAATTTCCTCACATATGTGTGTGCGCATATATGGATTGACAAATGGGTTGGCGTCCCAATGGTCGTAGGACCAACATGCCTAGATTCAACCTTGATCGAGCCCAGCTCATATACTAGGCTAGTCGACAGGGTGTAGGCTTGCTAGTCCTATAGCTTGGCCTAAAAGGTCTACCTATTTCACAGACACACACACATACATATAAGTACTTGTTTGGTAGGAATTTTGTTAATTGATTTTTTAACTGTTAGAGATAAAGTGGATCTTATCTGTGAGAGAATTATTCAAAAATGACGGTTGGAATAGTTAAATAACGGTAAAAAAATTAACGTTAATTGGATTAAAATATTTACAAAACATGCTCTAAAATTTACACTCTTTGTTAAATATTGTTAATGCATGTAATTTTTTTTTAAAATTATAACTTGCAAAATATTTTATTATCATTACACTATATGTAATCCTTGTTACAGTGTATGTAACTTTTTGAAATTATAATACTTTTGTTTAAATTTTGAAATGCCAAAGTTTACAATACTGATCAAGTTTTGGAAAAGATAGAAGTATAAATGATAGTTTTTGAAGCAAAAACTTGTGAACCATCCCCATTGATATGATAATTTTATAAGCCTCTCTTTATCATGATTGAAAGCCTCCCAAATGCGTTCATATGCATGAATATATACCAATTTGTTGAAGTTATGCATCCACAAAATTTTCAGACACAGTAGAAGCAAGTGCAACCATAGGCGAATGCATCAAATACATTTGGCTACCCCAATGCCCTCAAGACCAAATGGTCTCTTAACTACTTGTTTGGCTTTGATTCTTTGAGAAGTAATTCTTTGAAAGGGTAAATAGCACAAAACGTCTTTACCTTTCAATGTCATTGTGCAAAACGTCCATACCTTTTTTTTTCTTTTTTTTTTGGCATTTCACCTTATTTTCACATTTCATTATGCAAATGGTCATTTTCATCCATTTTGACAATTTTACTCTCCTATTCAAATAAAACAAAAAGAAAAGAAAAATAAAGAACTAATTGCAATTATAGTCCAAATTTTCAAAAATTACAAATCCGTCACAAATATAGCCACCTCGCTTTCAAGAAACTTTTCCTTCCAATCCCCATTCTCTCTTTTACCGTCCACTTCCCAATCCCTAAAACCAAGCCATTAATAACACTCACCTACCAAAATCAAATGGACTTCATTTAACTGTAAATTTGTATGTTGGTTATTTCAGTTTTTGATTGTTGTTTTGTGGGTTTAATGTGGTGATGTCGAAGAAATTGATAGAGCAAAGGGAAATTAGCCTGAAAAGAACTAAGGTGTGGAAGGAGCCCCCAAATAGCAAGCACCGAAAAGTTCCAGTTCTTTATTACCTTTCCAGAAATGGGCAATTCCAACATCCCCATTTCATGGAGGTTCCTCTTTCCTCTAATCAATGCCTCTCTCTTATACTGTCCACTTTCCAATCTGCATATTAGTCTATCTCCCCAAGAAACTTTTCCTTCCAATCCACACTTCTGGTACTAGAACTAAACCCCTTTTCCTCTTGCACGTCCTCGACCTTGTCAATTTCATTATTCAGTGTTTTAATATCTACAAAACCTATGTATTTGTTGTTATTTCACCTAATACTTGTGCAACAATGCTTTTGAAAATAGGAGCCGAGATGAATCTTTGGATTCAACATGGGCATTGCAGTGTTTATCGAAATTCCTTTGGAATGTGATCTTTTAAAAGTGGAAATGTATTTAGCAAGGTTGTTACTTCCATGGCTTTATTTTTTATTATATTTATTGACTTCAAGTGAAACGATTAACACAAACTATTTTCTGCATATTGAAAATGTAAAAATGGAAACTTACAATTATAGGACTATGATTGTGTGGAAGTGGTTCTATAGGTTGGGAGGCTATATTTGTGGCTGATTTGTAATTTATTGAAAAATTGGAACTATGGTTGTAATTAGTTCTTTATTTCATTTTTTATTTTTTTGTTTTATTTGAATAGGAGGGTAAAATCGTAAAAAATTGATAAAAATGACCTTTTGCACAATGAAAAGCGATAATAGGGGTGAAAATGTCAAAAAATGAAAGATAGAGACGTTTTGCACAATAACATTGAAAGGTAAAGACGTTTTGTACTATTTACCCTTTGAAAACTATCATTTTTGTAAATATGTGATTAAAAAATACGAAAAATTTATGGAAAAAATTTGAAAATTGATTTTTTTAGAAAGAACGTGTAGTTGAAAATGAGTATAAAAGAAAGTGATTAAGAATAAAAAAATGAATAGGGGGCTACAAATACAATTCCTACATCCTAAATAAAAAAAACATTAGCATTTGTAAGCATCAAAAAGTCACAAAACCAAAGTTGAGCTAAAGGCAACTGTAGATAAACTCATAATTAAGATGTATTATTTAGAATATGGATGTTGCATGGGGAAGATTACCATCAAGAAACAACAATTTTGGAAAAAGAAATATGTAAGAAAAGAATGGCAATAAGGCTAGACAAAATCTTAGGAGTGGTGGGAATGCTATATCGAGGTTATTTTGAATCTAAATTATTCACAATAATCAAATTAAAGGTGTATGAAATCAACAAATAAAGCCCAATAAATTAAATTTGATATTACCTACCAAGTTTGGTGATGCATAAGATGAACTACCTTATAGAAACATCTCAAACACTAAAATATTGGTATCAAGGAAGTTAGTAGTGACATTGTTAAAGAAAGAGAGAGGTGACGTTGAAGAGAGAGGCAATGAAGAGTGATGTGATCAAAGAGGGGAAGTTGCCCTACAATTCTATATTTTTTCAAAAAATTGAGATTTTCCTTTAAATGAGATACATGTAGGGTTGATGGGCATAGAGATAGACTGGCACGACCCGATCCTTTTGACATCTTAGCATATAGGAATGAAGAACATAAATATTCAGTGCGGGGAATGATGATGTTGGTGGGTTGGTAGGGAAGTTTTTGCGTGCATTTTTATCTTTATTTTGATAAAGCATTACTTATTTTGTTTAAAAAATACTAACAATCATGTCGACATCATGTATATCGTTAACAACATAACGAAAAACTTACTATGTTGTAAACTTGAAAGGTTGACCCACGTTGTTATTGAAAATCAAAATAGGTAAGGACCAATGCGTAATTTTCTATATACTTATTGACCGCTCAAAAAATCAATAACAAAACAAAAATAGAGAGAAGGACAAAGTTGTAAGACGAGAAAAATTATGGTGACTGCAGAGGAAAAAAATAAAATAAAATAAAATACAGATGAGGAAATTTCGGAGGGCTGTGTGACCTGTGTCCATTTTGTTTTTGAGTTCTTCGTTAAGATCGTCAAGCAGCAAAGGCTGCAAAGCTTTGCAAAAATACTTTTATTCCTCTTCTGGTTCCTCCACAACGGCCACAAAACTATTCTTCACTTTCCTATGGCTGCATGTAAGTTCTTATTCCATTTATCTATATATATGTTCATAGGTACACACCCCTGTTTGTGGTTACAAATTTAAGCGTCTAAAATGAATCTTGGTTGTTAAAACTGTTATCTTTTGATTTTTTCTCATTTTTTGAGTGTTTCTGTAATGGGTTCTTCTTTATTGGTTTCTTGTTTTATATAAATTATGCATTAATGTTAATTACATAGAATTTGAAATTTTTGTGCTGAATTTTGCTTCAGGTGGTATTGGGGCTTCAGGTCTTAAGATAACAAACTTGGATTTGGGTTATGTTAGACCCAAATTGAGCACAATGCAGCCTTTGATTGGTTTTAGGAATCGAAATTCTGTTCGATTTGATGGTCTGGTGCTTTCACAGAGATCAAAGAAGGCACTAACTAGGTGGCGCAGTTTGACTTCAGATGCTGATTGTACGTTTCTTTACATTGATTTTTCTCTGTTTGGTTAATTTTCACTTTCCTTTGCTTGTTGAGTTGTTCTTTGTGGGTTTTTTGTGTTTCATAAACTGTATAGTGAGAATCTTATTTTTAGCATTATAGAAAGCTTTCTGTGAATAAATATTGATTGTGTGAAAATGTACATAGATAATTGGAAATTTACTTTACACGGCAGTCCTACTGTGCTAAGGTTATTTGTCATGTTTTTGATAAGGTAGTTTTGTGGCTCGTCGCAAAGGACCAATAGAAGGAAATAGTATCAGCATCTATTGATTGTTTCTTTTCCATCTCTGTTTAGGCTTGGGATATATGAAATAAGAAAATTTGATGTGTGGATGGCCACCTATATGGATGGCCAACTGGATACAATGCAACTGACAAGGAATTGTTGAAGTTACTCATCTAAAAGTTCTGATTATTAGAAAAGGAACAATCTTGTCCTTCCAAAAACAGGACATTTTTATACGGTGGCCATGTATACGAAACTCAATCTGAATTATGGAATTCTGGAACAAGCATAAGAAGATGATACTTTATTCATACAATGTGCTTTAAGACAATATAATGTTGTTAATCAGCCATGTTTCTATTTTTTATGTTCCTTTATGCGAAAATCAAAATGTCATACATTGATTCTGAAAGAGAGAATTTCTCCTGTTGAAATATGGAAGAAAGTTGTCAGCGAAATTCTAATTTCTCTTGACTCCCCTTCACATCCTACTCCCCATGCTTGCTATTTAAAATGATTTTTAGGGTCACTATTGATTCATCTTGTTTCTGCTGGTTAATGTTTGCTGTATCAGTATTTTGAATCATTGTAATTTCAGCCCTTATATTGTTCCCTTACGTAAAATTGATTGTGCACTATTCGATGCACTTTATCTTTTTTTGGATTTGAAGTAGACTAAAAGCTAATATGTCTGGAAGAGTATTTTTATTGAACTAGTATGCCAGAAAGAATCCTCCCCTCTCCCCTTGAAAATGAAAGGCTCAAAAAATGTAAAAGAAAAATTAAGGGTGTTGTGCATTGTCTTTATATTTTGGGTGTAGTATTCTCCAACATATCTGCTGAGCATGACATAGCTGCTATTTCGACATAGTTTCTCTTCCTTTCTTCTCAACTTTCACTTGTTTGTTTGAATTAGCAACAACTACTGCAAATACTGAAGACTGTTCTGAAGAAACTGAATCATCTGATGCAGTGAGCGAACTTATTCCAAAATCATCTGAGGTGAGTTGCTGTTACGCCATGGCCATTACTTCTACACATCAGCAATTGTTAGATGTCTCAGTTATTGTTTAGTTTTCTTTTCTGTGGTCTGATTGCTTAACAGAATCTGGAGCACTATTAAAAATTATATTAAATGCTCCTCTTGAGACATATTGTATGATTGATGATTTTCTAGCCTAGAAAATATTATTTTACTTATATTGGAGAATGAGGAAATCTTGACTAGAAACTTGAAGTAAAAAAGTACAACTTACAAAAGCATAGCAATATGCACCACTTAGCTGGTATCACCTAGTGCTAACATCATCTGCATTTTATACATCTTATCTGGAATAATGAAAGAAGTTTTCATATAAATTTGCATTGCTTTATCGTTACCTTCTGTAGATGGGTATAGACGTGATAAAAGAAAGAGAAGCAAAACTGAAAAACACATTCCACACTACTTTTAGTATGATTTTTTTTTTTATATTTTTCCTCCGCTTTTATGAACATTCCAAATTACTATTTATTGTGCTGTTTCTGTTGATTTGTTTGTTTATAGCTTTTCTTCAACATCCCATACCTCGTTCTTGTTTCGTCTTTGCAACTTCTTTTTCCAAGTTCTAGGGAAAGCATTCCTTGATTTGAAAGACCTGTTTACAACAGATATTGCTCTTGAACATGTCAATGCTATGAACATACAAAAGGTTCTATAATCAGTGGTAACCATCTTACTGAAATATCATTTGCAGGTCGAATATCTTCTGAACGAATTATGTGACACAACATCAATCGCTAAGTTTGAACTTAAGGTGAGTGGTTCTTGTCTTTCTGTATATCCTCAAACAAATCCCTCCACCCCAGTTGAGAAAAGGAAAAGGAAATGTGGATGGCTCTATCCTGCATCAAATCTTTTTAGTTTAGCAGATTTGAGAGTTCCATAGCCTTTTGTGCTGCCTCTTTCTATTTTATTGATCTTTCCTTTTTTTTTTAATTGATCTTTCCTTTTTTTAAATTTTTTTCTTATGATTAGCTTGGGGGATTTTGGTTACAAGTGACGAGAGACTTGTCTGAGCAAAGTGCACCTCCACAACCTCCTGTTTCTGCTTCAGTCACTGCTGATACAGTTGTTGAGAGACCTGATTCAAACGGTTCAGTCTCATCACAATCATTAGCCCTCTCCAAACCAGTACCTTCCTCGGGTGGAGTCCAGACGTTGCTGGATAAAGCAGCAGACGAAGGCCTGTTGATACTTCAATCTCCAAGGGTGAATCTCTTTTACTGAATGGAATCCTTTTTCCAGGATGTTCAGAGTATAATTTTATATCTGATACAGGTTGGATACTTTAGGAGATCTCGAACTATTAAAGGGAAGCGGGCTCCTCCTTCTTGCAAAGAGGTATCTGTTTCTTGTGGTTTTGTTACTTCTTATCGGTCCGTATATATGAAGTTGACTAATTTAATCTCTTGGTATACCTGACAGATAGTGGTGTGGCTTTTAAATGCATCATTTTTTATTTTCCTTTTTATTATTTAAGGAGGTCTGGAGGACCTTTTCCTGGGAAATCAATTTTCTTTGCCCTTATATGAATAAACCATGTATTTGTTTCCAGTTTGGCCCCCTTATTGGGTTTGAAAAAAAATTGTGTGATTTTGGGCTTGTGCATGTTTTTCCTTGGGTTGCATTATCAACAAAAAGAGACATTTTCAAAGAATCGTGAAAAATATTGGTCTATTGAACTGGAAGGTGTGAACATGGTATGAAATGTGTTATTCTCTATGCTTTGTCAAGTACATGTTTAGATTTTCAGATGCTTGACAAGTTATCTTTCGATATACAGGTACCTGATTAATCTTTATTGACTTATTTTCAGTTTTCGTATCGTGTACATTTTTAACTGCAATTTTTATAATTGCCGGAACATAAATTGCAGATCATTTATAAAAGTTTGGTTAGCATTGATGAGCTTCTTGTTATGTCATAATTATTTCTGTTTCCTCTCTCTTTCAACAAAAGAGATCGTCTTTTTTGTGTTGAAAATATTTTATGAACCCATACTCTTAACGGAGATAAAAATACGTTGTAGTTTGCACGTATAATCCTGGTTTAGTTGACGAAATCTTACAAGTTACCACTGTTCAGTGCTTGCCCGTTGCTATGATATTGCATAGCTCTCTAAGTGATGATTCATTACTTCTGTTTACATGATAAATGTTACTGCTTAACAGAAAGATACAGTGAAGGAGGGCCAGGTGCTCTGCTACATTGAACAGCTAGGTGGCGAGATCCCCATCGAGGTTAGGGCCTGAATTCTAATTGGCATTACATATTAATATATATTCTACGTTTTGGTGCAATTAATACATCTTCCCTTTGATCACTAGTAGAGTCCAATGTTCTGGGGTGGAGCCAGAAACTTAGGTCAAGGTCGGGTTCACTTTTATATATTATATATATACGAATCATCAAAACACACTAAAAAACCATGTATATCATTATGTAAAAATATTTCTAAAACCAACTTTTACATTAAATAATTTTATATAGAATACAAGTTATAGAAATTTATTTCTTTAAAGTAGCCGTTATGTTTTCAAATAGAGAGGAAGACATAGTTTGACATCCACTAAAAGAAAGGGCAACTTACGAAAATACCCTTAAAATTAGGGAGGTTTTGAAATATCATATGAAAAGTATTTTTGAAGTAAAAAATACTATGTATAATTAATTGTCACTTTTCAGTGTGACACGGTGTCACTTTTTGAAGTTGCGTGTCACTTTTTATTAAAAAGTAACATACAATGTCACTTATTAAAATGTATTCATTCAAGAAAGTGATATACAATGTCACTTTTATTAAGAGAGTGATGTTTGTTACTCAAAAAGTGACAAAAATTTCAAGAAAGTGATAGAAAGAAAGAAAATGACAAAATGCTAAAAAAAGTGTCAGAAATTCACAAAAATTGCATACATAAAAAAAAAGTTAAAAAAATTTAAAAAAAGTGACATTTTAAGTCCAAGACAAAAACTTGATATTCATCTACACTATTTTTCGTATTAAAGCATTCATTTCATACCAAAAAAAAGAAATATCAATTATCAGCCAACTTAATACAACAAAGTTATGTACAGCCATAAAACATCAACCATTGACATATTGAATGCACCCAAAATTTCATCAATAACCTAACGACTAAAAATGCAAAATGTCATAATTTAAACACCATCGTTGTTTGCTAGTCAGTCCTGTACATTCATCTATCATTGCCTCTTGATTCATATTCCTTGGAAACTAACCACGCTAGGAATTAAGACAATAGGCGCCACTGGCTCATTCATTGGCTCTGTTATAACTCTTATCATGTGACTTCTTGGCACAAATGAAAGCGTTGTACCTCTATCTCATTGAACATACTAAAATTCTTGTACTTCTGAACGAAGTCTTCATTACTCTTGAACCTGTCAAGATCAAGAAAGTCAAGTAAGCCATGCAATTTTTCAGAGAGAAACTAACATAAACCACCAGCAGGCTACATATAGATAAAGATACCCATCAAACATAAACGTATAGATAGAGAACTTCCACAACAGTTCATTAATATGCAATAATTACAAGTGGTCCACAAGATACATGCAAATAAACAGAAATAACAAGTGTCCCATGAACTCACCCCCCCCCCCAACCCCACGCGGGGCAAAGAAGAAATCTTCTTTTACCATGATGGCGCAAAAGAACCCAAATGATTTACCTGCAACGCCATGTTTAACACGAAGCGCGATGATCTCTGACATAACCTTGAATTCCGTCTCTGCTTTCTCTGTTTTTTGTGCCATAGTTACAAAAATAATTCATAATTTTGACAACTAACTAGATAATCATATCTTTTGGGAGTGGGTGTCATTTCAAGGATTTGAAGTATTAGTGCGAAGGGGAGTTTGAGGGAGGTGAAGGCAATGAGAGAGGAGGAATTGGGACATTGAGAGGCGATCTTGAAAGAGGAGTATTTTGAAATGAAGGCTAAAATATTTTTCTTTTTATACCTAAAAAGTTAATACCGTAATTAATATGTATGAAGAAATATTAGAAGGCCAAGTGCATTAATCAATTTTATGGCACCCAGGTCGTACTGGGCCTAATTTGCCCTAAAATATATCAGATGGAATTAGTTTGGTCTTGGTTTATAAGATCAGCAAAATAAAAATATCGAATCTTACATTTGTCGGACATTGTAAACNCTAACAAATTTGGATTATCTCTGAAAATTTCTGCACTACAATGGGCCTCTTGACACCGCAACTACCAACTTGGCTCTGTCTATACTAATGCACTTAAATGTCTCATGCCAAGGACATGACTTAATTTTTGGTTCCCTCTGTTTATTTTCAGTCCGATGTATCGGGAGAGGTGGTTAAGATACTGCGACAAGACGGTGGTATGTATCTTTTTCACTTTAACTTTCATTTGACATATATTTTCATGTTTGTCTCAACTTCTTTTTTTAATCACTTTGATGGCTCATTAAATGGACAGATCCCGTTGGGTATGGCGATGCTCTTATTGCAGTCCTGCCTTCCTTTCCAGGAATAAAGAAGCTTCAGTAGATAGTTCCGCTTAATTTCCTTTACTTACCCTTTTATCCGGTTCTTTATTTATTTTCGCACGGGTGAGGGATTGCATTGGTGGAGAACCAACTCCATTTTCATTGAGATATCTTATTGGGTGTCAAATAAAATTGTCTTGATTGACTTGTATGGAGAAGATTCAATCTCTGTTGGCTTGGCAATAATTTTGTTTTTTCTTTCATTTTTTTATTTTTTTTTTCGTTGTAAAATCTTTTTGTACAAGATGATGTGATTAATTCCTTAGTGCCTTCTTCTCTCTTGTATCTCTGTGAATCTATAGGTACAGTCGAGCTGAGAAGCTCGTTCAACTCTAATTGCCATTGGTTGTAGTAGGATGTTGAACTTGTCGACTACCAAGTTTACCAATGATCTAAGAAGTTTGACCCTTCCAAAAGTTGAGCTTCTGTAGTTTGTTAAAGACATTGACCTTACGTTTCTCTGAGTTAAACACTTGATAAATTTTTTGGATACTAATTTTCAATGCATGGTGGTGGGATTGAGGATGGAATTGATAGTTGATAGCGAATGCACTCGCAGTTTAGACAGATCATGTGTCAGTCATGTTGAACTTTTCATTTTTGGAAGGGAAAAGGATCAAGATCAATCTATATTATAGCATGATACACACTCTTGTATGGTACGCTCGTCCTCCAGACAGATGAAAATTACTTATAATTGATGTTCCACTAAAAGGCTACATGGTACCCCCCAAAAACGAGTTTCTCCCTAGAGCTATTATCATCCTCTTTTCTGGGTAAAACCCTTCATGTATTTGAGAAAATAATGACAAAATCTCAGTAAAATTTTGGGAAAAATTCCCCCCCCCCCCCCCCCCCCCCCTCCCCCAAAAAATAATAATAATAATAATAATAATCCTCCTCCTCTTTTCACTATAAAAACTTCAAGCCAAAAATTCAGAGAAAGATGTACTCCAAAATTTTATTGAAAATTGGTAAAATTATTTTCTAGCACAATAACTTGAGTGGAATTATTAGAGTATGATTGATCATTAATTTTCACTTTTTAATTGACGAGACCCATAATCGGATAATCCCTATTCTCATGTTAGAGCATTTCCATTCGTACTTTTTATTCTAAAGAGCATCTTTTATCAAAGGGATCCCCCCCCCCCAACCCCCCAATAAAGAGTTTAACTTTGTGTGTGTGTGTGTGTGTGTAGAAGAGGCCTGACTCTTTAAAATGGGGAAAATGAGGTTAACAAAGAGTTTATAGAAGATGCTCTTAGCACATTTGGTTCATTATTCTAATTACTTAGTTTTAACAAAATCGAGAAATCTCCAAATTTCATGTAATTACACCACTAGCTAAATAAATTTGTGAGCTTAGGTACGTGGCTATTATTTCGAAGATGGAGGTATGACCGTATGAGCGATTCTAACTCTTTATATAATCCGACAGAGCATTTCACAATTTTAATCAATTTTTGGTCCACGAGGTTCAAACCGTGTATTTACTCAATAAAGACGGAGAAATAGTGAATATTAAAAATTGAGGGAGCATGTATCATAGTCAAAATCAATTTTATCAAATAGATTAGAGCATTTTTTTTTTCTCGTATCAATTTTAAGTTTGGATCAATTTACTACATATCGATAAGAAAGGCTAACCTATTGCATTTAGGGCAAGTTAGGCTAAACTTAAAAATAAAAGAACTTTTTACTTTGAGATTGGCGACTTTTTTTTTTTTTAAATTTATTTTCATCTAAAATTATATTATTTAACTCACTCGACTTGTTAAAAGTGAATGATGTTAGATTATGATTTATTTATTTTTCTTTTTACTACATATGTTTTCGTTAGTTGTCACAACTACATTTTAAAGATCCTTTTCCATTACAATACTTCAAAATTTCAATATTTAATTACAAAATAAATAGCTCGATCATGTTAAGAGCCTAATTTTATTTTATAGTTGAGGACAATTAGACCGAGGCTTCGTTGCCCCCATGATGCATTACAAGAACTTTTCCTGCTTCCCAAGTGAATGGTCCATGAAAGTATAGATACTTTTTTTTGAAATATCACATAGGTCTATTTTGCCGCAAGTACCTCCACATTGAATATCTCTACTAGACAGAATTTTAGTGGCCTAAACACTTATTTTTTTTTTTACGAGAAACTAATCCAATTCGTAGCTATTCATGCTAGATCTTCTAGAATCCTATCGATTCATATGATATGAAGAGAACCGTTTGAAAATTTGACGCCCCTTTACTTATAAGTAAAATTGGTTATAAGGGCCCCTACAGGCATGACGCAATGGTAAAACAGGAAAGTTTTCTACGAAGCATTGGAAGTTTGAATTCTCGTGGCAACTGAAAGACAACACTTATATTGGAATGCAGATGTCCTATGAAAGTAAAGTTATGGTGCGCTTCATCCTCCCTTCAAGAGGTCTGTCAGCACGTCGTAAAGGGAGATCCACATGAAAGAGAATCGCATCTCGAATGTCCGACTCAAAAGTGTATAAATTATCTAGATGAAAATCGTCCAAAACACCATCAGTTGACTCGAAAAACTTCTTGAACTATTTGCTATCGCGATGATTTTATTGAATGTTGATACCTTTTTGGACGGTATTTTGGATAGTTTTATTGGATGTTGATTCCTTAATTTTTCCGGTCAACTGATAGTGTTTTGGACAGTTTCCGTCCATATGGAACTTAGGTGCATATTTATGAAAGATTAGGAATCTTCGCTGACACAAAATGAAGATTAGGGTAAAGTTTACAAAAAAATAAAAATATTGGGGACCGCTGCTGCAATTTCCCCCTTTCAAAATTAGCCCAATAACGCTTTTCCTTTTCCATTACCATTTTCAGTTTCCCAGTACATAACTCTGTACCATATTTATCCATTACTCTTTGCATGATCGTACCAAGGGAGGGTTTTGGAACTTACAGGGTTCATAATTTCTTTTCTTCCTTTTCACCTTAATCAATTTCACAATCAAGCATGCAAATCTGCACTCTGGTTATGGCTATGTTTGATTTTATCTGATTATCAAACTATATATTTCCATTATTGGAGAGTCATGCCCAAATTTCACATTTGTGATATTTGATTAATGTCTTTTGCGGATTTGTGGCTTATCCCAACTGCGTATTCTCCAAATTTCAGTTCAATCTGCTTAAATCCCAACTGCGTATTCTCCAAATTTCAGTTCAATCTGAAGTTGTTGCTAAAGTTTCATCTAGGTCACTTCATTTTTGAACACAGAGGATAAAAAAGCTGCAGCAATTTCTCAAATTTTATCCGTTTTTCGAAACCCTGAAATCTTTTGAAAATGGACAGTGTTCATGAGAATGAAACTCGAAGTGTTCATGGTGTCAACGATGCATCTAACCAGCAATTTTTTAATCAATCTAATGCTGAGTTTGGGCATTTCAAGAAGCCCAGATTTTCTGAAGCAATGAGGAATCCAAGGGTTTACCTAACAATCAACAGGTCGAAATTGGACATTCCCTTCAAATCAGAGTTGTGCATTCTGTTCCAAAGAGGCAAATGCTATTATGGTGACAATTGTCATTATGCCCATAGCATGAGTGACATTAGGAATCAAAGTTTTAACGGGCCTGCAAATGGGTATCAAAGAAATACAATGAATAAATGGAAAAAGTGTTTTAAGTTTTCTAGTGGGAAAGGTTGTCCTTATGGCGACAAATGTCAATTTCTTCATGAACGTGTTGGTGAATACAGGGAGAGTTCTGCTATCAGCATTGTGAATGGAGCTGATCAGATTGAATGCAAGAGTTTGAATGCAGGTCAAGAGTATAAGAGGCTGAATTTTCGCAAGATGAAGCTCTGTAACAAGTGGGAGAAATTTGGAAGCTGTCCTTATGGGGTGAATTGTGTCTACGCTCATGGACAAGCAGGTCTATCAGCGCTTCACTTAATTTACTGCAATTCGATTCTTTGGCGATTTCTAATTCATTGTTTCCATTTATTGACATGTTCTGCTACAAATATGGCTTCTTATGTAGTAATTTTTTGTGCTAAATAATCCTTACGAGGACAATCTTTTGGGTTGTTTAGAGAAGGCACGTTTCTGCCTGATATGAGGGCACAACTGAAACTGTGCTGTTGATTAGAGTTACATCTTATCTGCCCTGGTATTGTTGAGTCGAGTCACAAAAATTTTAAGCTCCTGAATTGGAATAATATTTATTTAAATGCTTGAAAATATCTATCCATTTCGATTATATAGGCTAGATAATCCATTATAAGTTGTTGATTCTTCTAGTCTCAATACTTAAATGTGTTCTTCAGCGAACACTCACGAGAAGTTCTGTTTAGTAATTTATTTTGCTGCTCTTACACAAATCTTGTTTAACCAAACTTTATGTCATGGGCCTGCTTGAATAATTGTTTGAAGGGGGAGTTTCTTCATTGTTCTGAGTTTTCTTGAGTCAGAAATGATGTAAATATTGATTAATGACACTTCTATTTACCCAATTTTTTCATGTGTAAGAAAATGACTCTGGTTATCTAACTTAATTTGGAGTGGTGATACTAATATATTCTCAAGTTTTATGAGTCCAATCGCACTGAGGATAAGCACATTTGACTGTGTGCGCTTTCTTTTCAGTTACATCACCAGGTTTGTAAATCACAATACCACCATTTTTTAAACATCGTCTTTCTACCCTGCAAGGCAATCAATTATTTAATTATCTTAAGTACATATTTGAGTTCTTTTATTGGAAGTCACTAGGATGAGGTGTCTAAAAGAAGACCACAGCAGAACCAACACTTTGAGAAACTTGATGGCTGTGAGAGTGTAGATAAAATTGAGAATGCCTAATGCCAGTTATGTGGTAGTACACAGTGCTGGAGATTTTATGGTTCCATTTATGTAATGTCATCTCTTATATGGCCTTATTTATCCCAGCCTCTGAATCTTCGTTATTTTGCAGCTTCTTTTGATGATTATATTGCACTTACAGGGTATATTGTTTTTCAATTGTGGCTGTTTTATATAGGTATTTGCCCGGATTTTTTATGTGCATCTTTTTCCTGGGTTTAATGGTTTAAAAATGGAAGTGCAACTGTTTACAGATTAGATTAATGGATACGGAGTTGCAAAATACTTGCACTAAGGGGGTAACTTTAGCATTCTACAGAAGGCATGTTTTGTAAGGGATAAATGCTGGAAGTTGTTCCTCAAAAAGTGGTTCATTCTATGGTCCTTCCTTCCTTTTGGTTGAGCATTATACATTATAACCTATAGCAAGTCCTTTTATCTTCGATCATTTAAGCCAGAATATCGCTGTTGAAATTTAAGCCAGAATATCGCTGTTGAAATGCAGGAGGCACTCACTGGATAGCCATTTTTTACATTTATCTGCTTCTGTCCCTTTCTTGGTTTTTTCCCTCTTTCGTGGTAGACGAAAAATAAATACTCGACTGATTCTTGTCAACTGGATGGACAGAACTGCAAAGGTCTGGTTGCATTACTGAGCTGGAATGTGCAAATGCTTCCAATGCAAAAGCTGTTGCTATGCAATCCAGTGATTCAGAACAAAAGACTGCTCGTGAGCTGAGGCTACAAGGCAAAAGGTGCTTTACAAAGTGGAATGTTGAGAAGATTAATCGTATCTATGCTGATTGGATTGAAAGCTGAATTTGAGTAATCTGTTGCTTTATATTCTTTTGCGAGGATAATGACAGTGTGAATCTTTACTGTTGGCAGTTTGGTCGAATTCAACCAGTTACTTGATTGACTAAAGACTTGGTGTTTAGCTTTTCTTTCTGGTTCTTGCATCTACATGATAGATCTGAAAAACAGCTTTTACATAGTGTGATTTGTTGTATGAAAATGCATATTGATCCTCTTTCAATTGATGACACTGTTAGGAACTGGGTAATTAGAGGTAAATTACTAAGTTTTAAGAGGAAATATAATTTTTTTTTTTTTTTTGGTTTGTCAAATTAAAAAATTAGTTATTTTTTTCTTTAGGCACATTACAACAAGGATGAAGTATTTATTCTAACTCGGAAAAAAAAAAAATACGAGTACTTAGCTTAAGAACGAAGAGCATAATAGAAGTGACAAATTCTAATTGTCACGTAATCTCGTCATATTTCTTGTTATCATGTATGATATTTTGTAAGCTCTTGTTCACTTTCATAATCACCTCTCATATTAAATTCATTAGTGTTTGTCTATAACTCGTCTCTTCTGGATCCAAACCCTCGTCGATATTACCGTGAGTATATTTAAAGACATCATCCGAATATAGTAGAGTTGGACGGGAACCTTCTAGATTATCCATGCAAAGCCCTAGTCCAATAAACTTGGATCTTCATGAATTTTACGTCGAACTCGATTGCTTTTCTATTGGTGAATATTAATCGGACATATTCTTTGACGCTCCAAATCTTAAGTTCGATTCGCTATTAGGATTTTTTTAAAGTTTTTTTTAAACAATTAAACTAATTTTTTAACAAATTTATTCAACCTCGAAACCTGCACAACGTAATGTCCGCGCATATTTGGATTACCAGTTGGATTTTGAATGTTATCTGAAAATCATGTATTAGAATTTAGAGTTTTTCAACAACATTTAATCATTTAATGAATTGTTCAAACTCATACTACCAATTGCTCTCGGGTACACATATTGCAATGCACGAGAAATGCAGCAACTTTTCTTGCCAACCTCTAAATGACTTGATTCCAAAGCCTATGGATAGAGGACTCGTAGGGCTATCCAATTCCACTGATCTTTTCCAAATATTCAAAGAATTCGGTTTGACGTGGGAGATAAAAGGTCGGACAAAAACCTCTTTACAAGTCTAAGATTTATTCTTGAATTCTATAGCAACTTAAATTAACTACATTATTATGTAAAGGATCCTTGATCTTAGCCAGTCCATAGGAGCAAATCATGGACACAGTCAATCTCAGCTCTAAAATCTTGGATATACAACCAAACTAAAGACACAAATCAGGGACATGGCTACTGTAAATCTACTATTACACCTTGTATATTGATTCACAATTAATAGGCTTCCTAGTATAGCTTTTCTTTGTGGTGTATGTATACATTGTAGCCCTCGCTGTAATTTGTGTAGAAGCCAAATAATTTCATACATAAAATATATTCTTACACCACAGTGCCTGTTTTTCTGTATGGCATCAGAGCATTTTGACTCTAAAGAGTATGATTCGCTTGCTTCCGTCATGACTTCTTTGATTGTCTCTCTTACCTGACTGGTGGTTAGACTTTTGAACAATCTTTAATCTCCATAAACACTAGCCAATTACAATGCCTCACCACCTCCAGCTGCCCATCTTGGTGTGCTACTTTCTCTCCTCTCCTCTTTGGATACGGTCTTATGGGGTATCTTGATGGATCCCTCCCATGTCCTACCGTACCCACCAAAAACACTTCAACAAATGATGTTGTGGCCTATTCTCGCTGGTTTAGACATGATCAACTCCTCTTGAACGCCATCTTGGCTTCAGTTTCGAAACAAATTGTCCCTCTTATTGCTTCGGCAAAAACCTCCTGTGACGCTTGGGACAAGCTTTCTCGCTTGTACGCCAACATGTCACGAACACGCGTCATGCAACTTAAAGAGGCACTCACTCTCATGCAATGTGATGACAAACCCATTATTGACTATCTCCATAGTATCAAATGCATTGTGGATGAGCCGGCTCTCATTGATGCTCCTCTATCTAATGATGACATAATAGTCTATGTCTTGCATGGGCTAGGTCCCGATTATCATGACATTGTTGCTCCTATCCGCACTTGCACCACTTCCTTGACATTCGAGGAATTGCATGACGTGCTTGTTGGTCATGAGACTTATCTCAAACGTCTTGAAGCTGCTAACAACACGCTGGTTGTTACAGCAAACCCAGCTACACATGGCAATTTCACCTATTGTGGCCGTCGCAAGGACTTCACTTGAGGCACTCCATCGAGTCAACCCGACTCAACTCATCCCGTGATGTTTTTCACAAGCCCAAGTGCCAATATTGTGATACCCTTGGCCACACTACTAAATCTTGCCCAAAGCTCTCTACCTCAACCTCTGGTGCAGCCAACTATGTTGGTAAATCACTGGCTAAGGACAAGAAATGGATGGTTGACTCCGGTGCTTCTCACAACATCACATCTGAATTGTCTAATCTCTCTATCCACTCAGAATATGATGGCATTGATGAAGTAGTAATTGGTGATGGTAAAGGTCTATTAGTTACTCATGTTGGCTCTCTTGTCCCTCGCGTTCATTTCATGTTACCAATATTTTATGTGTTCCTGAAATGCATAAAAATCTTATATATGTTCATCATTTTACCAAGTCCAACAATGTACTGATTGAATTTCATCCTGATTATTTTTTGTGAAGGATCGGACCATAGGGGCGATACTGCTACGCGGTGATTTTGAAAATGGTGTCTATCCTCTTCCGTCCATAGCCAAAACACAGTCATCAATTGCTGCCAATGTGGGAGAGCATACCTCTACCAACACTTGGCATCGTCATTTGGGTCATCCTGCTCACAAAATTGTTTCTCACATGGTTAAACAGTTTTCACTTCCTTTTACGTAATTCTGTTTTACCAAATAATTGGACATCATGTCGTCTCAATAAAAGTTATAAATTACCTTTTGGTACTAGCTCCATTGTTAGTCATAATCGTCTCTAATACATTTTTTTCGATGTTTGGGGTCCCACACAAATTCAATCCTCTAATGGATATCGCTATTATGTGATCTTTATTAACTACTATACTTGCTATTGTTGGTTTTTTCCCATGCACCAAAAATCTGATGTCTATCAAATCTCCACTCACCTAAAACCTATGTTGGAAAAGCAGTTTAACCATCGAATTAAAAAATTTCTACACAGATAATGGTGGTGAATATATCAAGTTAAAGACATATCTTCTAAATCATGGGATCAGCCACCTTACTACTCCACCTCACACACCCCAACACAATGGCATCTCAGAAAGACGACATCGGCACATTGTTGAAATCGGAATGACCCTTCTTACCCAATCTACCTTACCTATTACATATTGGCCTTATGCTTTTCAAACAGCCGTGTACCTCATCAATAGACTCCCATCCCTTGCCCTAAAATATAGTTCACCCTATGAACGTTTGTTTGAAACATCACCAAATTATCTCAAATTACGAACATTTGGTTGCTAATGTTTTCCTTGGCTTAAACCCTGCACTGGTCATAAGCTCGACTCCAAATCTCATGCTTGTATTTTTCTTAGATACTCTACCTCTCAGAGTGCATACAAGTACTTAGATTTAGCAACATCTTGACTTTATCTTTCCCGCCATGTACAATTCAACGAAAATGAATTCTCCTTTCTTCGGTTAAAGCCACCTTCTAAGCCTATCCACACGGGTCCACCCACTGTGGTCTCGCTCCACCTATCTATTATTCCAATAGGTGTGCCCAACCCATCCTCTAATCCGGTTGACGAGTCCTCCCCCAACCTAAACCATTCACATCACTCACAGCAGCAACCCTTGAATTCGAGTCCTTCGCATACTACATTAGCCACTTCTTTGGACAGTAGCCCAAGTGCTATATCTGGCCTACCAGAACCTGAAGCACCGGTCCCCACTCATAGCATGATTACACGAGCCATGAATAATATCTACCGACCCAAGCAGATATACCAAGTGCCCAAACATTCACTAGCACCTGCTCTTGAGTCCACTTGTGTATCACAGGCTATGAAGGACCATCTTTGGCGCCAGGCCATTAGTGAGGAATTCACTTCCTTATTGAAACATGGTACTTGGACCCTTGTTGAGAAATTCCTCATCATAATCTCATTGGTTACAAATGGGTGTATCGTATCAAGCGAAAATCAGATGGCAGCATTGACTGTTATAAAGCCAGATTAGTGGCTAAAGGGTTCCAGCAGCAACGACCTGGCTTGGATTATAAAGAAACTTTTTCTCTTGTTGTCAAGCCAGCTACAAATCCGCACGGTACTTACTCTTGCAGTGTCTAAGGGTTGGCCTCTTCGTCAACTAGATGTTAACAATGCGTTTCTCCATGCACTTTGACTGACGAAGTTTACATGACTCAACTAGCTGGTTTTGTCGACCCCAACTCACCTCATCATATATGCAAGCTTTATCACTCTCTCTATGGACTCAAACAAGCCCCACAGGCTTGGTATCATGCATTAAGTGATTGTCTCACTACAATGGGATTTTCTTAATCAAAAGCCGACTCCTCCCTATTTATCTACCATATGGATGATCTAACAGCATATTTTCTTATTTATGTTGATGATCTCGTTCTCACAGGAAATTCGAGCACTTTTATCCAGCAGATTGTCACTTCCTTGGGCAAGGCCTTCTAACTTAAAGATCTCAGCCCATTGAAATTCTTTCTCGGTGTTGAAGTTATCCCCAGCATCGATGGTATAGTTTTATCTCAGCATAAGTACATTAGAGAATTACTCTCTAAAATAGGCCTTGACAATGTGAAAGAGATTTTGACCCAATGTCTACCTCTGATGTTCTTCGCCTGGATGACAGCACAACCATTGTTGATTGCACGGAGTATCGTCAAGTTATTGGTTCACTTCAATATCTATCTCTTACGAGAACCGACATTGCTTTCCCGATTTCTCGACTTGCTCAGTTTAGCGATACCTCAAAGCAACTCTTTATCATGGTCTATGGCTTCACAAAACTAAAGGTCTTCATCTCACTGCATACTCTGATGCTGGCTGGGCAGGTAATATGGACGATTGAACCTCCACTTCAGCCTACATTATTTATCTCGACAACAATCCAATATCTTGGAGCACGCCAAAACAGCTCGTTGTTGCCCTCTCCTCCACCGAAGCTGAATACCGTGTTATTGCAACCACTGTTTCGCAAATAGCATGGCTCATTTTCCTCTTTCAAGAACTCCAAGTGTCTCTCCCTGCTGCACCAAAATTATATTGTGACAATATTGGTGCCACTCAGCTTAACTTAAATTCTATTCAACATTCTTGTATGAAGCATATTGCCATTGATATTCATTTTGTTCGGAACTATGTTAACAAAGGCCTGCTCAATGTATCTCATATCTACCCATGATCAACTTGCAGATCTCATGACGAAGGCTCTTTCAAAGTCTCGCTTTCAAGAGCTTCGCACCAAGATCGGTGTTACCAATGGAAGCACCGTCTTGCGGGAGCGTGTAAAGGATCCTTGATCTTAGCCAGTCCACAGGAGCAAATCATGGACACGGTCAATCTCAACTCTAAAATCATGGACATAGAACCAAACTAAAGACACAAATCAAGGACACGACTACTGTAAATCTGCTGTTATACCTTGTATATTGATTCACAATTAATAGGCTTCCTAATATAGCTTTTCTTTGTGGTTATATATACATTGCAACCCTCACTGTAATTTGTGTGTAGAAGCCAAATAATTTCATACATAAAATATATTCTTACACCACGGTACCTGTTTTTTATATATTAAACCAATTAAAATTATAATGTTCAGAACTAGAAAGTCTTTTAAATAGTAAAGATAAACTAACATCTTTCAAAAATTAAAGATAACTAATAAAAACTATAAATTCTTCAAATGTGAGTAACTACAAAAATTAAACTCCTTTCTCCCTTCATATCCTCCGCAATCCATGTGAATCTCACTTCCTTGACCATTCTTTAATTTGAAAAAATTGTCAACATAGAAGGTGGATTTTAAGCTCCACAGGAGTTATATCACTTGGTGCCCTTTGATCGGAAACATATGCACATATATACAAATGAAAGAAAAGAATTTAACACTTCATATTAATGGATACTAGCAAATTCATGATTTTCAAGAATTTATTGGGATTGTAGAAATCAGTTTTGACCATACATAAACATCTAAGCTCATAACTTCAAGAATGGTACAGAATCTCTCCTTCACAATCACACCTAGCTTTTCGTTTGAACTTAAGTTAACTAGAAATAGATTTTTGAGAGAAAATCAAAGGCAATTCGTTTTTAATATAAAATGCAGAAAAATGAATGGTTTATGTGAATTTTCACATATCTTCATGAATACCCATTAACTAGAAACTTTTTTTTCTTCAACTAACTTGACATAATTGTGCTTTAACGTGGAAAATGAAGATCTTTAATTCCAAAAATGTTTTTATTGATCAGAAACATATTACATATATACGAAGTAACAAAAAAAGATTTAACATTTCTCATAGATGAATATTGACAAATTCATAATTTCGAAGAATCCCTTGGGAATGTAAAAATCGATTATGATCATACATAAATCTCTCGGTTCATAACTTTAAGAATTCTAATATATATCACAAGCATACATATATACGTATCATGAACAAAAATAGTGAATAATTAGTACCACCTACCTTGGTTTTCTTGAAATACAAATGAAAAAATGGTGTAAAAATCTCTCATTCACACCCTTGCTGAGAAAAGTGAATGGTTTATGTGAATTTTAACATATCCCCATGAATGTCCATTAACAACTAACTTATTTACTCCAATTAATTTGACATAATGTCCTTTAACATGTAAAATGAAGATCTTTAACTCCAAAAACGTTTGTGTTGATCAAAAACACATACACATATGCAAAATAACAAAAAAGATTTAACATTTCACGTAGATGAATACTAATAAATTTATGATTCCAAAGAATCCACTGGGAATGTAAAAATTGGTTATGGTCATGCATAAACCTTTCGGTTCGTAACCTCAAAAATTCTAATATACATTACAAGCATACATATATACATATCATGAACAAAAAATGATAAATAATTAGAACCACCTACTTTGATTTCCTTGAAATATAAAGAAAAAATGGTGTAGAAACCTCTCTCTTTCACACCAAACTTTCTATTCCTTTGAACTTAAGTGTGTGTGTATATATATATATGTGTGTGTGTGTGTGTGTGTGTGTGTGTGTGTGAAAGAAAATCAAAGGAAAATTCATTACTCATGTGAAATGAAGAAAAATGAATTATTTATGTGAATTGTATCCTATCTCCATGAATGTCCATTAACAAGAAACTTATTCCTTCCAATTAACTTGACATAATTGTGACAAAGAGAAAGGGGAATGATCTTATTATAACAAGAAATCACACACACACACACATATATATATATACTTAAGTTCAAAGGAATAGAAAGTTTGGTGTGAAAGAGAGAGGTTTCTACACCATTTTTTCTTTATATTTCAAGGAAATCAAAGTAGGTGGTTCTAATTATTTATCATTTTTTGTTCATGATATGTATATATGTATGCTTGTAATGTATATTAGAATTTTTGAGGTTACGAACCGAAAGGTTTATGCATGACCATAACCAATTTTTACATTCCCAGTGGATTCTTTGGAATCATAAATTTATTAGTATTCATCTACGTGAAATGTTAAATCTTTTTTGTTATTTTGCATATGTGTATGTGTTTTTGATCAACACAAACGCTTTTGGAGTTAAAGATCTTCATTTTACATGTTAAACCACATTATGTCAAATTAATTGGAGTAAATAAGTTAGTTGTTAATGGACATTCATGGGGATATGTTAAAATTCACATAAACCATTCACTTTTCTCAGCAAGGGTGTGAATGAGAGATTTTACACCATTTTTTCATTTGTATTTCAAGAAAACCAAGGTAGGTGGTACTAATTATTCACTATTTTTGTTCATGATACGTATATATGTATGCTTGTGATATATATTAGAATAACTGACCCTACAACCTTATTAGAACAAAGTTTCAACCTATAGTCACTAGTTTAGAATAATTAACTTTCTATGGATAACAACTAGTGGTTGTATGTGCCTCTCAAAACTAACACCCAATTTGTAAGTCTCTCATCAATTAAAAACACTCGATCACATGCTCAATAATTTGTTTAAAATAGAAATAAATAACAAGTATCTATCTAGTAACATAATATTTGACAATTACAACAATGTCGTAATATTTTGGGCATATATCCCAACATTAGACTTGTTACAAGCACTTCATTGGAATTTTTAGCTGTCAACCCACTTAGATGCAAGGGTAGGGATGGCAACCAAGCTTGAGATTTTCGAGAAACAAGTATGAAGAACTAAAATATCTCCATCTACTACTCTTTACTTATTTATTTACTATCTTGCGTCGTCAAGGATTTTCAAAAAGCAGGGCCCAAAAAAAAAAAAAAAGGAAAAAAAAATTATAGTTTTGTTAAATTAAGTAAATATATTTTAAATTTTTTTAAATATGATTTAATTAAAAAACATAAAAATAAAATAAAAAATACAATTACTTGGCAACCAAATTTGATTCTACAACAGTAATTTCTCTACAATGCTTTCAAACAAGAACATCATTGGAAGACATTAATTCCACTCAACTAACTGTATTATCATGGCCATTATCCTCTTGCTTTACATAACTAGTTTATTCATATGTAATCATTGTATAGCTATTGAACCTTTTCGACTGTTGATGGATCCTCCAACCTTTCTATCAACCAGTGAGTTCTTCCATTAAGCCCTGGGGTTAATTTAAAAACAATAAAGATGTCAAAAGCCGGGGACTAGTTATAGAAGAATTTGATAATTGTCAACAGGAGGGAGTTAATACCTGAGAGATGTACTGCTCGGCATCAGTTCTCCGCAGGAATAACATTGCATGGCGAGCTAGGTTCGCTACCTGATCACTAAGCACAACCTCACCAATATCTTCGAGAACCCTCACCTTGATGTATGGATCTTTCGGAGGAATCATATCCTGGGGAGACGTGAATAGAGTAAAATTGCTGGGACATTTATGCCTAATCATTGAGATTTCATAGAATTACAAAATTCAGCCATAAACCAGTAGACAGGAATAAGTCGAACCCTTACAAAATTAGTTACTAATGTTATTGAATTCAAGCTTTAAACTATTAACTCTTGGCAGACAAGCGTAAAACCACCCTTCCAAAAGAAAAAGAAAAAAAAAATGAAAAGAAAACAATTCTAATGCAAATGAAGGTTCATAACATCAAATTAACGTGAGCAAAAAGTATTCAAATTCCTATATAATCAAAAGGGGTGATTGATCTCCCTTTTTAAGAAACATTTCAGCAAAACAATTATGTCAATTATGTTGGGAAAAAAACAAACAAGTGAATAGTGCCCCAGCATAGAGCAGATGATGTTTAGATGTCCTTGTCAAGCATAATGTTTTTAAAACAGGGCAAGATAACACGTTCCAAGTTCTTCAGAACTTGGCAGAAAAACGTAACATATGAACCTGCATGTCAAGTACTAAATGCTTATCTTCAAAACGTTCTCAAAGCTTAGTTCGTACAGATTTTTCCAAGGGGGGGAAAATTGTAGAATGTGTAGTTAGAAGTGGGGAAAAGTAATGGATCTCATAGACGTGGATGAAAATGATTTTGCAGAAAATAAATCTTTGACAAACAAGTCTTTAATAACATGTTTTGGAGTAAAAAAATTGACATAATTAGCACCCCATGGGGCAATTTTTGAATGTCATGGACATCTACTACTGTTTAGGGTTGATCAGATAGTTAACAAGCAATATAGACGAGAAACTCCAGCTCATACCTTCTCTGACCACTAAAGGTTACTTGTGCAATCGATCTAATGATGTAGTTTTACATTAACATGACAAATAAGCAACAAACAAAAGCTGAAACTGCAACTTTACCAATAGAAGCCCAGTCACCAGTGTTCTCAGTTTCACTTAATGCTTTCCCAAGATACTTCTTGTGAATTTACTTCCTTTGAAATTTTGTTTCCCCAAGGATGAAGGAATACCTTCCCTAAATGCATTGACAAGCTTAGCAACAGCCACCTTATTTACAACTTTAGATGAGGTTGCAAGAAACTAATGAATGCAAGGGGAAAATCTATCCAGAAGTCATTTTTAATGAGAAGCCTTCGGTAACTGAGCTGAACTTGTCTGCTCTCAAGGACACAATCTCGACCAGCCTTCCGAATTCTACCCCTGCTATCACGAAGATCAATATCCAGTCACCGCTTGAGGGTCCTAACTGAGAAAAATGGAATTTTCCTTATATGACATCTTAAGGGCGAGGTGGGGAACATTCAATCATCCACCTCATAATGCTAAAACTTTGAAGAGTGTGAATCAACGACGAAAATTTTATTCTGAATGTGCCAGCATCATTGATTGAACTTTCTCAAAGCTCTTTTAATCAGTAAATTTGGGGCGACCGTTTACTCTATATACTTTGAGTTGACACATATTTTAGCAACAGCCACCTTATTTACAACTTTAGATGAGGTTGCAAGAAACTAATGAATGCAAGGGGAAAATCTATCCAGAAGTCATTTTTAATGAGAAGCCTTCGGTAACTGAGCTGAACTTGTCTGCTCTCAAGGACACAATCTCGACCAGCCTTCCGAATTCTACCCCTGCTATCACGAAGATCAAAAAAATCATACGTCTGATCTGATTTCAAAAATAAAGCTTATTGGATTATGAAGAGTAAAATTGTATATCATTTAAAATTTCCTTTTTGCAAGTAATGCTATTATGCTTGGAAGGACTTAGTTTCCTTCTGCAGCCTTTGATTATTATTCTGAGAATGATCGTAGTCATTATAACATATGAAATGAAGTAATAGAAGGAAATAAATATTTTAGAACACTCATCCTGTAAGTTATTTTGTATGCTCTTCTTGCAGAGACCTCGATTTCAACAAACTAAGTGGACCAATTCCTGGCTCCTTTTCTAGTCTGTCAGATGTAGGTCGCATGTAAGGATTTCAGTTATCAAGACTTAAATTTCCATCTTTCATTCCCAACCCCCCCCCCCCCCCCGCCCCCCAAAAAAAAAAAAAAAAAATGAGACTTGTAACAAAAGGGCATCGTTATAACATTTTATTGATGCCTAGATGAAATTCAACAGACTTAAGTTAGCAAGTAATCTAATTATATTCTACTGCGTATCAGCCAGAAATGCTTTATGAATTTTTCTATTAAGCGAGTCATCGTATTCTGGCAGTGACTCTATCCCAGAGCAACAATGCAACTGACCTAGATAAACCATCAAGATAGAGTGGAAGATGGTTTCTAGCACTTCACAAAAAAAAAATAATAATAATAATAAATTAAAATTGATGGGCACTTCAAAAATAATAAATAAAAAAAATCATTTAGTGATGTCTTAAATTTTAAACTTTATGCAGTTATTGTACACTTCAGGCTTCAGTAACTCATTTCCAACATAAAAAGGTTGTGTGTGCTCCAAATGAGAGAGAGAGAGAGAGAGAGAGAGAGAGAGAGATGATGGGCAGAAAAGCACAGAATGAATCCGTCCACCCGCTTTAATGTTGCAGGACTAAAGTTTAAATAAGATTCGACCAGGTGATTCCCCCAACACAAAGTCATAAAATAAGAAAAAATTCAAAGGAATGAGGAAATTTCCTTTCCTGAACCTGAAGATTATAATGGAGACCATGTCGGGAAACTTACATCTGTGATGCTCGGACTTTTAGAAATGGCCGGCGTACCCGTGTCAACACGACATGAGTACTGGTACTTCACGGCAATTTATATAAGGGTTTATGTCTTCCAGCCATTACACAATTTTCATGATTTTAGTCAAATGAATTATTGCTTTCATTGTTACTAATGTTTTTTTCTTGTTAATAGGTTAATAAGGTTGACAAAAAAGCCATATTAACGAAATTTGGACTCTTTTTAGCCATGTCTCCATATCCTACATTTTAAAAAATGAAATATCCAACACTTAAATACGTACCCATACCCGATACTCATACCCGAGTCCAAGTATCTTAGATATCAAGTTCTCTAAAAATACAAATGCTTGCTATTAAAGCTGTGAGCCTCATTGGACTTCAAAGAATGAAGATATAACCTCTAAGTGCTCATTGAGGGTCATTCTAAGACATAAACCTTATAATCCCGGAAGTTACTTCTAATTGTTACCTGTTTTCGTGGATGTTAGATAAGGAATCACATCCTAGACAAATTTTTCTTAAGGGGGGAAAAAATACAAAAAATGTCTGCTGCATGGCAATGAACTATGTCGTATAAGATTATGATAAAATAAACTGCTGCTTTATGTTATATATATATATATATACATACATACATATATATATATACATACATACATACATATACATATATATATGTATATATATACATATATACATATATACATATACATATCTATATGTATATATATACATATATACATATATATATATATACATATCTATATGTATATATATACATATATATATATATTACAGCATCAATTCAGCTTGGAGACAAAACTTCAACATTATCTAGCTGATAGGTATATCAGATTCCAAAAGAATTATACAAGTAAAACACAATTTCAGAATCGTCAATGGGATCCACATTGTATAAGTAACATAAAGATCTTTTGAATTCAAAATGACCTAGTACCAAAATTGGCAATCTGCTCAAATTTGAAACATGTCCAATGAAAATTAAGTGAGAAGAGAATCAATTACCACACTCAAATCAAGATCAAGTTCTGACATATATGATTGTAGGGTTGCAGCATGATTCTTGAAATATTCTTTCTCTGAGCTACTGAGTTTCTCTTCAATTTCTTCAGGAAGAACACAGTCAACCACCCACCCCAAACTTCTGATAACTTCTGCTCGATTATATCTATAAAACCAAAAGAACAGAATAGAGTCACAATGAAGAAATGATCTGAGACAAGCATAGTGAGAAAGATTTACTCTAAAGAAAGAAAAAAGGTTGGAGAAGATGTTGGTTACACATAAGCCATGAGACAGCGCTTATTGCGGACCAATGAGAGGTGATGGATCAGGGCACCAAACTGATCTGATTTCATAGCTGTCTGGATGACTATCTTTTCGGCTTCTGATTTCCTCCTCTCGTCTTCTGATAACTCCATTTCATCTTCCGATCTCCTATTATCTTTCAATTTATTTTCATGCTCTTGTATTTTCCTGTCATATTATCAAGTTGAATGTAAAATCATACTAAACATTGACATGGAACTAGCAGTCATACTCACAGCCAATCCCTACCCCACATACCTGCTCACCACAATCAATATAGAGTGTGACAACCAACAGAAAGGCTTTCCGCAGCAGAAAAATTCCGTCAAATAACCAATACAAGGGTCGATGGTATGACAAACAAAAATTAAAGTACAAATGGAGCTATGCAATACTCTTTGGCTGTCCATAACATTGAGACACTGGAGGGATAATAGGAATGAAATGACAGCAGTAGGCCCTGTCATGGCTGGACAAAATAAATATGAGGTTTCGATGATCACTGAAGTCGAGATAAGATTAAATAACTTTAACCCGAAAGAATAAATGGAGGGAAACATCTTCAATAATCAGCCAATTTTAGATACTTCTAAGATAACAGAAAAAAAAATGCCTGCAGTAGGCTCAGTCATCCTTGGACAAAGAAAATTTGATTTTCAATGATATACTCTGGTGAAGATCACATTGGAAAACTTAAATCCAACAAAATGAACTGCAAGGGAATGAATCAATCTCGTATCAAATTGTCAACACTGGGCAATGAATTGTCATTTTGTATTGCAAGTTCAAGCATTAATAATGGGAGAGGTAATAACACCCAACAAAAAAAAAAGCTAGACAACTACTGATTTCCTATAAAATGACAGGTCAAACTTAACCGAAAAAACTTAAGTCTGTTATAGGTTTCATAACAAACAGTGTTAGAAACGAAGGCTGAGAAAAGAGCGTGGAAGAGAAAATAAGCTAAATGAAAGAAAAGTAGGGAAGGTTGAGTGGAGCATACAGAGAACAATAGGAAGAGAATTACCTCATCAAGGGCTGAAGGTGAAGGAGATGACCATTACACTCTTCAATCACTTGGCCAAATAGGTCATTCTGTGCACCAAAAGAGACCAAAGATGTCAAGTAATACACAGAGATCTAACTACATAAATATTATAACAGAGCAAAAATTGACAGAATTTTAGTAAAAGTGGGACCACAAACATGCAGGGGAAATCCATACACCCGGGTATATGGAACATGTTGCCGTATATAGTTCTGATATTTCTTTCCTTCATTTTGAAAATTAAAACTCATTTCTACTTCTGATGTGGGCAATATTGTGTCCAATGAAAGCCTAAATACTAACGATAGAAATGAATGAACTGTAATTTTTTTATCAACAAACAGGAATTTAACTTCACAATTCAGATTCCTTTGCATACTAGAGCCTTCCCTTCTGTCTCCACTTCATCCCCCACCTCTCCCACAAAATAAAAATAAATATGCAGCAATTATATTGTTATATCATTTTTATTGAGCAAACAGGAATTCAACTCTTGAAACTCACCTTCTACAGAATATTTTGTCAATCGGATCTAAATATTATGTACTGAGCCTCCTGGAAAGGCCATTTATTACTGCAATCTACATGGTTCAGTTATTCAATTTTTCCTTAAGATGAGAATCCTTAAATGATAGGCAGTGCAAAATGAGGTACAAAACCATGTTCAGGAATCATGTAAATTTATAATATGTATGTCATAAGAATACATATGCATAATATATCAATGGTTGTATACAAATGCCCATTGACTGCTTGTACTATATTCTTAACACGGTTAAAGGAACTCTGCTGTGCTTTTGTTCATTTTCAGTGTCATAATAAGCTGCTTGAAGGAAGCACTTGGGGAAAGAAAAAGAAAAGATCTCAACGGCATTACCAGAATTTTGAAGCTAGAGACGGCACCGTTTAGCATTTCAATTTAATTGTTTTAGCAGAAACCTTCAGTAAGATCAAGCAAAGAGAATTAGTAGCTGAACACCAGGAACTCTATGAGGATCTCAAATCTCAGGTTATGTTGTCTCTTCCCCACCTTCTTGAGTCGTATTATATCTCCATCTTTACTAGTGGATTGAAGGAGAAAATTCGATCCATGGTGAAAATCATCAAACCAACCTCTATTTCCCAAGCCTTTGAAACAGCCTTCTTACAGGAAAACACAATACTAGCTCTAAACAAAAACATAAAAAACCCAACCAAGTTCAGTTATCAATCCAAATGGCCTAGCCTACCACAAAAACCCACCGAAACTAATCCAAAACTTTTCCCTAGCAATGGCACTGAACAGACTCAAAAAAACCAAACCAAACCCCTAAGATTCAAAACAATAAGCCCCACTGATATACAAACCAAAGAGAAGCCTTGAGTCATGTTTTAGATGTGATGAAAAATATACCCCTGGACATATGTGTAAAAACAGAATTTTGAACTTCATATTGGTGGATGACGAAGTAGAAGGGAAAAAGGTGGATGCAGAGAAAATGGCTAAGCAAAGTGAAAGGGAAGAGGATGAGGAAATCATGGATATTTCCATTAATGCCTTATCAAGTAGCCTGAAACCTAATACCATCCGGATCCTAGGCCAAGTGAGGAGGAAGAAAGTATCAATCATTATTAATAGTGGCAGCACCCATAGCTTTATTGATGAGAAATTAGTAAAAGAGTTGAGATGTAAAACAAAACCAACTCAATCTATGACATTCGCTATAGCCAATGGAGACAAGCTACATAGTACTGCTATATGTAATCCACTTACTTGGGTCATGCAAGAAAGGGAATGTCAATTCTAGCTGAGGTTGTTGAGATTAGGTGGGGGTGATATGGTATAGGGGGTAAACTAGCTAAGCTAATTTAACCCATTTGTATTTGATTTCCAACGAGGTAGCATCAGGTTCTCTTACCAAGGGATGAAGGTGGAGCTGAGAAATGAAGCCCTGAATGAAGAATTTCTGATGATGGAAGGGGGACAGATGGGTCAGTGGATCCATAAGCAACCTAATGGAATTGTAGCTCAAATTCAAGCAATAAATGAAGAGGGCAAACACAAAATTCCTGCTGAGGTGCAGAATATCCTTATGCAATATCCAAAAGTGTTTGCGGAATAAAAAGGAATGCCCCTTCCCAGATTTAATGATCAAAGAATTCCTTTGAAAGAAGGAGAACAGCCTTTTAAAATAAGGCCATATGGATGCCCTTATGTGCAGAAGATTGAATGTCAGAATTTGATCTCCTTTCTTCCCCACTCTCTCCTAAATTCTCCCTCCCTTCTTACTCAATTTCATCTGTAATTCGTTCATCAAATTTCGGTTAAATATCATTACGGTTTTGGGGTATTGAATTACAGCTGATTCTGTAAATTGTGATTGAATTGCGCTGTAATTTGTTGGAATTAGTCGGTTTTGATTGAAGATTTAATCAATCATCACAGTCAGACAAATCATGCATTTTACAGTCATTCTCAACTATACTCCACAAACGACACTCTTGCAGGAAATTCATAGTGTTAAGAGGATAGCTAGTCACATCATTCATGTGGAAATTGGAATGCTTGGAAATAGAAATGACGGAATCTTACTCTTCCATGTATATCACATTATTTCTGTACCCCGAAATATTTGACTATTTCTTTTCTTTTCTTGGGCCACATTTGAATGTATCTTGAAGATTTTTGTAGGTCATATCATCTACACTAAAGATACATAAGATAAAATAAATTACAATATATTGAACAGACACTTTTTTGAGTTCAAATTTAGTGCACCGGAAAACAAGACATTACTCTCCATAAATCAAACAAGTAAGAATACTTACGTTGAAAGTGGTAAGCTGCCCAGGTTCACAGCTCACAAATTCTTTCACTAACTCACTTGCTTTTTTACCGTACATTTTCCTTAAATCTCAGACAGTAGTCCTCGTATTACTGCAATTCATCAGAAGCAATTTATCAAACAGCTTATCTACAGAACATCAAGTACATTAAAATTCAGAAGTGACAAGCAGATATAATCGCGCAAACCGGTTCACGCCTAGAAACAAGATATATAGATAGACACATATACGAAATACACATCATTGGGTTTGTGTTTGTGTGTGCGCGCACGCCCACAAACAAGTAAATTTCGATAAGAAAACAAATGTATATTTACATGGGGAAAGTGAAGATTCCCCGAAGAATAGTGGAGACAAGAGATTCAGGAAAAATAAAAATAAAAATAAAAAATACAGGAATTTTAACGGGAATATATGCGACTGAGAAATTTTTTTTGGCGGGAGGGTTCGAATAGCTTGAAAACTAAGCGCTTATCTGACCTCGGATTATGCCTCTTTGATTGGATTAAAATCAGTTTTTTAATGGATTTTGACGAAAGTTGTTAAAAAATTTGATTCCGTTATTAAAATTAATTGTTAATTTTTATTTAAATTAAAATTAAAATTAAAATTAATTTTAATTTTTACCAAATAGAAGTCTCTATCTGGATTTCCACAATTGATTTTTGCCAATATTATATTACCCTTGTTTTATTTTGCTACAAATAAGTTTTTTAATAGATTTTGATTAAAATTAATAAAATATGTATTTAAAAAATTAATAAAAGTTGTAGATATTGACTAACCAAATTAGGGCTAAATGTGATTTATGGGCAGTGTTTTAAAAGGCGACGCCAAGACGTACCTAGATGTGATGCTCAGCCAAAACGTCAAGTCTAGTGACTTGGCGTTTTGTTTGGCGGTCAACGGTGATCGTTGACCACTAAGACGCACCTATGCGCAATTATGTGCGCATTGGCAAGCATTATCATCATTTTTTAATTTTTTTTAAAAGTTTGTATTATTAAAAAACTATCAACGGCTAATTTCTTCATTTTGCCCTAATTTAATACAATCACTTGTATCGGAAGACACGAATGATGAATTAGATGAAGAGGAAGATAATGAATTGGAGTCTGATAAAGAGTTATATAAGATTTAAGTCCTCATACTATTTATTTACTATTTTATATTTAAATTTGAAATTTATTTTTTTTGTTGGAAACATTGAAAAAATATATAATGTTCCTATAAATTTGTTTTAAATGTTTAGTAAGTATTATTTTTAATTATTAAATAATTTTTTGATTTATCAAAAATTATAATAATATTAAAATAAAAAACGCAATTTTACGTTTTTTTACGATTAAGCCTTGTCTAAATTCGCGTGGTTCATAACTTGGCCTCTACACATCACCACACATTACGCCTTTTAGAACAATGTTTATGGGAGTGTTCTCAACTAAAATTTTAATGAATTTTAAAATATTATAAATTCTATTGAATTTCGTGGATTTGAATAGATTGTTACAAATTCCATAAGAATTTTAAATATGATAAAATTTCAAAAGATTTGGTTATATGTATTTTTAACTTAAAATTCATCCAAGTCTTTTAAAATCCTTCTATTAATGAATCTTTATAAATTCACTGGATATTGAGGATATCTAAATTTCAATGATTTAAAAATCAACCCAGACATCGACCCGAAAAATCAAAAGAGTCAAGGGTCTAACAATCGAACCGAAATCAACCAGGGTCAAACCGGATATCCAAAAATAATAATAATAATAATAATAATAATAATAATAATAATAATAATAATAATAATAATAATAATAAAACCCCAACAAACTATAAAATGTAATAACAACAACAACAACAATTTTTTAAATTTTAGTATTACTAATTCAAAGTAAATATAAATCAATATTTGTCAATTAGTTTTATTATCCTATGATTTATTTTAAAACATCAAAACTAACAATTATTGTGCTTAAAATAATTTGTTTTGTTCAAATTGAAATTATTTGTGCTTTGGGGGCCAAAATTTATTTAATAGAAAAAAGGAAGTGAACAATTATTATTTAAAATGCAAAAGATTACACAACTTATCTCACATCGAAAGTTGAGGAAAACATTACATAACTCTTCTCCTTTAAAAACAACACTAGGATTGAAAAGGAAGGCAAAATTGGGCTTGCAAATATTTGAGCCCATTTATTAAAATATTTTTTTTTTTTTTTTTGAAAAAAAAAAAAGGTAAAACCGTGACTAGTTTTTCAGTTTCAAGTTAAAATGGCAAGTTCAATGTGCTATTTGAGATTGATTAATATATTAGTATGGGACTGGATTTGAGATTGGATCTCGATTTTTCCGATTGAATTGGTCAGTCCGGTCCGATTTTCAAAATATTGCTAAACTTTAAAGGATTTCGTTAAATTTCATTAAAATCTCAATTAGGGACACCTAAATTTTAATGGATTTCATTAAAATTTTAATTGAAGACATCTAGACATAGAATAACTTTTAAAATTCATCACAATTTCAATTGAGAACGCATCATTTAGTTTTGGTTTTGGTTTTGAAAGTGAAATATTGTGAAGATTTGTTTCCATACATATTCAATCAAACCTTACATTCTATCTCCAGGGCCGGTCCTATGATTGTCGGGGCCTGAGGCAAATTCCACAAATTAGGCCTCGGCGAAATCAACGTAAATGCAAAATTCAACAGTATATTATGCGACCTATTGCTAACTTAAAACTAGCATTTAAACAACAACCAAATATATTATAAAAAGGATTTATATTATAAAATAACAAAACCAAATATTTAATCATAGAGTTGAGGAACTTGTGCCAAGTGTAGAAGTACAGATTAAGAAATCGACATAATTGACTAAAGATTTATTATCAACTAAAATTAAACAAAAATATACATATAGATTAAAATACGACTTTCTATCCCTTTTAAAGTAGATTTAGAATGAAAGAATTGTAAAATGTAGTAATATCTTTTCAAAGTTTTTGTACAAAAATAAGACGATGACGTGGATTTAACAAATACAACACATAAATATCTATCTTCACAAAGTTTTTGTACAAAAATAAGATAACGACATGAATATTTATAGACACTCATTTATAAAATTCATCAAATTCCGCATCATTTTCAAGAAAATAAACTCCAAATTTAACCATTTTAGATCTTGTCTTCAATAAATTTACATCAAATCTCACACCATTGGATCTGGGCTGTTTTGCCTTGTTTTGAAAAAAAAATAATAATAATAAAATCTGGACCGAAATGAGGCCCCTTATGGTCTTGGGCCTGAGGCGAGGGCCTCATTTGCCTCGCCTCTGGACCGACCATGTCTATCTCGACCATAAATTGCCCATTCACAAATGTAAATTTATATTGGCACATTAACATCCTAAAAAGTAAAAATCAAAGAAAGTATATATGACAAAATGAAGAACCGGAAGAAGTTCTATACGCATATAATTAATCACATGTTCCAAATCAAGCATGGGCAGATTGATAATTTTAAGTTCAAATTACACAAAAGTAGATGTGTGTAAGCTTTGGTTAATGCTGATGGAATTACGTTTGATCTTGGAGATTGACGAGTGTATTTTATACGCTTATTTGTGGCCTAAAATATCAATATTGGTAGTTCTTTTGATAAAATATATTCTAAATTGTTGTATTTTATAGGTAAAATTCAACGATTGAACGAGAAATTGAAAGAAACAAGGAAAAAATAAAGGAAAAGATTGAAATAAAAAGTATGGGACCAGCTAGCAACAATTCGACAATTGACTCAAACCATAAAATGAAGATCAAATCTGCAAAAGATTCAATTAGATGCAATTGGGAGCTAAAGGGGCGGAATATGGTTGAAATATTCTTACAGATCAATTTTTAGCCGAAAAAGTTAATTCTAAGTTTTTAGCCTCAAATTGAAGCCCATTTTTCAGATTGCAAACATTCTAATTGGAGAAATTGTACTTAGAGTAATTATACCTCTTTGAGTTATCTTTTTTAATGCACTTTGAATCATCTCGATCGGAAATCGAAAGAGAAAGTTATGACCTAAATACCGAAAGTTGCTCAGTGATGAACCGATAAGGGGCAATTCTTGGTGCGCGCACGGCACTCTATTTTCATCAACCCGAGAACCATTTGGCTCAATGGAGCACATGCAATAGTTATGCCGGTACGCAGGTCGACTATTTTTGCAGACAAATCAACAGTTTCCTTTTTTGATTAAGACATAAACTTAACCCATGTACACACTTGGAAGTCTTCTACATAAACTCCCCCTTTTGTACACCATACATACACCTCAAATACATATATTCTCTTAACATTCATTCATCCAAACCATAAAAAATTAAGTGCTATTTGTGGAAGAACTGAGAAGAATTCATAAAGCTTTGCAATAATTTAATCAAGGGAAGCTTCTATCTCGATTTTTGGTTGAGAATAAGAAAACTAAATCAAGATTCATCAAGAACGTCGCAAAGAAAGTCAAGAAGTTCAAAATTCTTCTTTGTTTATTAAATTTTATTGATTTTTGGGTGATGTATCCTCAAACAATGATTATTTCTTATAATTTTGCTATGCTAGGCTAACTTTTTAGATGCTAGAATGTAGATGAACCCTTGTTATTATGTTTTGGTAATAATTAATTATTTTGACGTCTAAATTTGTGTGTTGATTGGATTTTTATTATTATTTTCACCGAAGTAATTAGCTACTAATTCAGATGACATATTGAAATTTGTTGTTATCTAGTGAGAGAATAGATTTTTAGCTGAAATAATAAATGTTATAAAATTCAATAAGAGATATAAATATACATCTATACTTTACATGATTTCTGTAGGTGTTTTAAAGCTTTTAATGCATTTGTCATGATCGGTTTCTTCATCGAGAGATAGGAAGGGTCACATGATGGAAATAGATTTTATACGAATTGAGAGAGGTTTTAATAACATTAATCAACAACTCTTCACACATATTTGTCAAAATGGTTAATTATATTGAAAATGGATTAACAAGGAGGATTCGAAATCTTAGCATTCTCACATATTTG